TTTAGTTGTAGTTGGATACAATACCTTTGCTTATTTATTTTTATGTGGTGCTGAGGATCGAACCCAGGGCCTCACACATGCTATGCAAGTGCTCTACGGCTGAGCCACAGTCCCAGCCCCAAGTTTTTGTTGTTTCTATAAAGGAAATTTGTTTTCATTATTATGTTTCTTACCTGGTTTTTGATGGTATATAAGAAAACATCTAATTTTTTTGTATTAACCTTCTCCAACTTACTTATTGAATGCTTTGATTATTTCTATTAGTTTTTTAGTTGCTTCTCTTAGATTTTTCTGGCTAGTCCTTTTTCTCTTCATTCCCAATACTTCACTACTTCCTTAGTTTTATTTCTGGCATGATATCATACCTTATTGAATGGCTACAGTTAGCTATTCTTTTTATTATTATTATTTAGTTGTAGTTGGACACAATACCTTTATTTATATGTGATGCTGAGGATTGAACCTAGGGCCTCGAATGTGCTAGGTGAGTGCTCTACCGCTGAGCCACATCCCCAGCCCCAGTTAGCTATTCTTTATAGCTCTGCACAATAAACTAGGCAGAACAATTAGAGATACTTGAATATTGACAAAGCAGCCTTGTAATTTATCAGTACTGCTATATTAATTGCATTCATAGTACAAAACTTAGTTGAAAGTAAATTCATTTGTTAGATAAGAGCAGGACTGGATGACTTCTGAGTGAGTACTTGATAGCATTGATTGAATTGAGAGAAAAGAGATTAGTGACTAAGAGGGCCATAGGTGAGAAAAGGGTAGAAGAAAGACAGCAGGAATAGGAGGCCAAAAAGAAAACGTAATGTCTTATTGAGATGAAATCATGGTAGAATATAAAATGGTCATTGATAACTGATGCTACACAGGAGTGTTAGAATAAGTGTACCAACACAAAGCCATTGTATTTGTTACCAAGTAGTCTGTGATCTGCTTTAGTCTTTCATATACTTGTTAATTGTAGTTCTTAACTATTTTGTGGCTTCTTTAATTTGTATTTTTTTCTATTAGTGTGGTGGGAGTACTTATCAAAACTTACTTCTATGAAAATCAGTAGTATTCTTTGAGTAGTAGAATTGACTGGATAATTTTATGTGAAACCTGAAAGAATTATACCTTAATTTCAGGTCATGATTGTGATTTAAGTTCTATGTTTTGAACCAATCCAACTATACTCTGTGCCAATAATAGATAAAAACATAATAAGAAAAAAAATTTAATGTAATCCAGAAGACAACATAAACTAATTTGTATAATAGAAATGCAAATTCACAACTAGAAATGAAAACATGGGCCTACCAGATTTGAGGTCTAGAAATGGCTGGAGGTAATTGGGAGTTCAATTTCAATGTGGTATTGGGAAGTTAAAATGTCACAGAAGTCAGGAGTCCATAGCTAGGCTCAATAGTTAAAAGTAGGAATTTCAAGTTGGGCTGCCCTGCTCCTATAAGGAGGGTTGTATAGGAAATTCCCTGAGGTTGGGCTGGGTTGTGACTCAGTGGTAGAGTGCTTACCTAGCATGTGTGAGGCAATGGGTTCAATCCTCAGCACCACATAAAAATAATAAAATAAAGGTATTGTGTTCATCTACAATGAAAAATATTTTTAAAAAAGTTCCCTGAGGCCATGGCTTATATAAAAAATACTTATCTAGAGTCATAGAAGGGCCTAAAAACTGAACAATACTTGAGCCATTCTGCAGTGGCTTACTGCCAGAACCTGTAGTAGTTCTGACATATGGAGCTTCCATTCACCTACAGGACACCTAGTTTTCAACTAGGGCCCAGCTGGGCAATGGTAAAGGCAAACAGAAAGATGTGAGACAGGACGAGATAAATGGAAAGGGATGAAAAAGACAACCCTCTATGGGTCTGTAAACTAGGCCAGACACTTGCCTGTAATCCCAGCTTCTTGGGAGGCTGAGACAGCAGGATAGCAAGTTCCAGGCCAGCCTCAGCTGCAGCGAGGACCTGAACAACTTAGTGAGACCCTGTCGCAAAAAATAAAATGGGCTGGGGATGTAGCTCAGTGGTTAAGCACCCCTGAGTTTAACCCCTGATTAAAAAAAAAAAAATCTGCAAACTAAAATTCCAAAGCATTATTTTAAAAAGAAAAAAGCTAAACCTAGAAGACATTCAACAAAGTCAACAGTCAGAAAATTCATTCACTCTCAGATGAAATAGACTGATTTTATTAAAAACTTAAAAAATAATAAGTATGGGGGCTGGAGTTGTGGCTCAATGGTGGAACAATTGCCTCGAAAGTGTGAGGCACTGGGTTTGATCCTAGCACCACATAAAAACAAAGGCATTGGGTCTATACACAACTAAAAACAAAACAAAACAATATGTTAAAAAATAATAAGTATGTTTAAGATTCGTCAAAAGATAAACCATTTTAAAAGAAGAAATTATGTTGAATAAGACATGAAGTCAGAATAGACAGCTAAGTATAAAAACTGACTACTCATCTTAAGAATAAAATATGAACTTATGGAAATTGAATCATAGAATAAAAACTAAATTAGACATGGTTGAAGAAGGAGTTACTGAAGTAGGAAATTGTTCTGAAAAGTTTACCCAGTATGCAGAATACAGAGAGACAGAAAATACTCAAAAATATGTAATTATGCAGCTAGGAAACATTAAAAATAGAATAAGACACCTGAGAGTATAGTTCCAGAAGAGGTTCTAAGAACAACTAAGAAACAGTAATCAAAGAGCTAATGACTAAGAGTTTTCTAGAACTGAAAACTTACGTCCTCAGATTAAGAGCACAATCTAAATACTGAACAGGAAAAGCAAAAGTCAACTATAAAGAGAAACATTTAGTGCAACTATAAAACAAAAGATAAAAGAAAAACTTAAAGGCTACCAGAGAGGAAAAAAAATAGATTTCCAGAAGGGTATGGATTAGACTCTTTTCAACAATAATAGGAGTTTATAGCCAATGAACTTTAAAAATACTGAGATGATAACTTCACTTCATTAAACCACCATTCAAATTTAAGGGGAAAAATATTAACAGCAAAATAAAGATATTTTCAGACAAAGACTTTAAATTATCTTTGATATGCCCTATTTGAAAGGGCATCTAAAAGGGCATCTTTTTAGGAAGGGGAACCCAAAGGTAGGAGTAGGTATACTTTTTGGCAAAGTTAATTAGCAATGATAATCAAAATAATTATTTTTGTCAAAATCACTCTGAAATACCTGGAAAATAATGAAGAAATAAGTAATTGAAGAAACACTATCATATGAAAAAAAAAAAAAAGAAGATGGAGATGCTGAATAATTTTAACTTTATTTTCCCTAATAAAACCACATATTAGGAGCTGGGGTTGTGGCTCAGTGGTAGAGTGCTTGCCTGGCATGTGTGAGGCACTGGGTTCGATTCTCAGCACTGCATATAAATAAATGAACAAAATAAAGGCCCATTTAAAAAAAATCTCTTTAAAAAATAAAAATTTAAAAACACACATATTAATATATTAAATATATTGAATACCTACTGTGTTTTAGGCACTGTTCCGGAGTCTGGGAGTAAAAGAGTTTTTAGAGGAGGTAAAGTACAGACTGCTTTTAAAAAGGCACAATTAACCCAAACAGATTTAAAGAAATACATGGTTAAATGGGGGCAGGGATCCTTGAAAACGTGTAAAAATAGGGAAGAAAAGAAACTGTGGCAATATTAATGTTAGAAAAAAATGTAGTTTAAGGTGAAGAGCATTAATGAAGCAAAATGAGTAGCTGGAGCAATCTGTTATGAAATTGAAAGTGAAAATTAACAGGATTAATTGACAAGTTCACAGTCTTGTGAAAGATTAAATAGAATTGACAAGTTCACAGTCTTGTGAGAGATTATAGAGTATCTATTAAAACTGGTAGGGACTGGGGGTGTAGCTCTTTGGTAGAGCCCTGGTCTAGCATGCACTAGGCTATGGATTTGATTCCCAGCACTGCAAAAAATAAAACTGATAGGTAAACAGAAAATTCATCAATATAGAAGACTTGAACAAGACAACTAATAAATTTAATAAAATACAAATAGAAAAAATTTTAACCAACCACAGAGATTCTGCAGTAATTTAGAGCACACAAGAAATATTTACAAAAATTTTGTGCTAAATGACAGAAATTCTCCAAAATTTAAGGTAACCAGAATCATACATAACATAATCTCTAACCACAGTAATTAAACAAGCAACAAAATGAAACAGTATATATAAAAAAAACTCATTTGACTAGAAACTAGAACATGTACTTCTAACAACTTAATATGTTGAAGAGGAAGTTTGAAAACAGCCTGTGTAGTACACATGAAGTAGGGAGAAGGAAGGGTATATTAAAGATAGGAACAGAATTAATAAATAAGGGGGGGTGATACTTTATTAATTGCAAGATAGACCAAGGAAAAAGTCGGTATTATTTGAATCCATTTCTGTTCATGATTTATTTTCTAAGTTAGCAAAGTCTGTCTCTCTCTTTTCATTTTTGTGGTATTGGGGATTGAACTCAGAAGCATTCTACCACTAAGCTACAATCCCCACCCTTTTTTATTTTGAGACAGGATCTCAGTAAGTTGCTGAGGCTGGCCTCAAACTTAGAATCCTCCTACCTCAGCCTCTGAGTAGCTATAGCTAGTATTACAGGCATGTTCCAGCATTGCAGGCAGCAAACTTAGATATTTAATATCAACCAATAAGAAAAACATAGGTCTCATAGTGGCAATGCTATGGAATGGTTTATGGGTATTAAAATGTGAAGTTCTAGGGGAAAAAACCCCAAAGATATAGAGGTTAATACATATAAGTTCATTGCCAATTTTTTAAGAATATATTTTCCATAAAACAAAAAATTACCTATAGAAACTTAAAATATCAAATTTGTAGAATTGTTTTACTGTTGCTTATTTTGTTTAAAATGTCTCTGGCCTTTAAAGAAAAGTTTGTTCTGCATATTTGAGGTGTTTTCTCTGCCTTGTTGTAGGTCACTCAGACAAGCCGTCCAGACCTGATTCTCTTCCTGATGAAATACCTGATGGCTCTCATAGTTGGTATTCCCTCTGTTTTTTGGGTTGGAAGCAAAAAGACATGCTTTGAATGGGCCAGTTTTTTTCATGGTCGTAGGAAAAAAGAGTAAGTTAATAAATTCTCACAGTGTTCATAAACCTTACATTTATGTAAATTTTTTGTTTGGCTTATCTTAAAGTAGTTATATATATATATATATATATATATATATATATCTTTATTTTTTATTTGGCTTATCTTAAAGTAGTTTTATATATATATATATATATATATATATATATATATATATATATATATATATATATCTTTATTTTCATTTATTTATTTTTATGTGATGCTGAGGCTCGAACCCAATGCCTCACCCATGCTAGGTAAATACTGCTGAGCCACAGCCCCATCCCTTTTAAAGCAGTTTATATTTGGAGAAGTATTCAAATAAGATTGTAACTTTGTCAGCAACCACCAGTTATGATTGGCACAGTAGCAGGTCTTAACTAAAAATTTTTTTTTAAATTATTTTTAGTTGTCAATGGATATTTATTTATTTATTTGTTTATTTATTTATTTGCCTCACACATGATAGGCAAGCGCTGTACCATTATTTTCTATACATTTTTTATTTGATCCTCTTGATATTTCTGAGAGGATTTATATGTATTCGCATCTCTGTTTTACAGATGAGAAAACTAAGACATAGAAAGGTTAAATGCCTGGCCAAAGTCACACAGGTATTTAATATTAAGAGATAAATTGAGAGGCTGGGATATAGCTCCGTGGTAGAACAGTTACCTAGCATATTTCCAGAACTGGGTTCAATTCCCAATAATGCAAACCCCTCTCCCCGCCCCCCAAAAGATGAATTGAACTTCCATTTGGGCTAAGGCTATAGCTCAGTGACAGAGCGCTTGCCTAGCATATATGAAGCATTGAATTCTATCCTTATCACCACATAAAAAATAAAACAAATAAAATAAAGGAATGCTGTCCATCTACAACTACAAAAAAAATTGAACTTCCATTTGCAATTGTCCATTGTTCCTCCAAGTATACAGAAGATGATATAGAGAGATGGACTGATATTTCATTAATTTAGTACGTTTGTTTAATTAATTGATTTATTTTAATTAGGTATATATGACAGCAGAATACAATTTGATTCATTGTACACAATTGCAGCACAACTTTACGTTTTTATCATTGTACACGATTTGGTGTCACATCATATGTGCAGTCATACGTGTACCTAGGGTAATGATGTCCATCATATTAAAGTTTATAACCTCAGTTTTTTGTTTTGTCTAATTGCAATCTGAAACTATTGAAACAAAGTTAATTTTGAGTAGTAGCAGTGGATAGTCTTATTTTCCTAATTTTAAAGAGATTATTTCTATTTCTAATGGTGTTTCCATTAAACATTTGGCTTTGAATCAAGAATAATATTATTAAGAGGATCAATGAAGAATGTATATAAAGTATTCAACAAATATTTGTCTCCTGTCTGTTCTTCTACCTTAGCTAAAAACAATCATGTGTTTTATAATTTGAGAACTTAGAAAATATATTTCTCAATATATGATCTTGTCTTTGCATGTTGAGTTTTATTTTTTTAATATTTTTTAGTTGTAGATGGACACAATATCTTTATTTTTATTTATTTAATGTGTTGTGAGGATCGAATCCAGGGCTTCACATGTGCAAGGCAAGCACTCTACCACTAAGCTACAACCCCAGCCCATATTTTTTTAATGAAATTGTTTATCTAATTTTAACTTTAACTTATTCTCATAGGGAGTCACTTTTTTCATAAACCAAGACACCAGTCTTTAGAATTATTTAATTAGCTTTTTGTTAATTGAATTATTGCTTTGTTCCTCATCATAAACATCTACTTTTAACTCTTTTCATACCACTTGAAAACTTATGCTCATGACAATAATTCATCCCCTTAAATTTATTCCCTTAAACTTTTAATTTGGTACGAATTTTATGTTTGTTTAAATTAATGTCTCATTTTGTTCTATTTATGGCTACCTATGTTTATTACAGCACCAGAAAACTGCTTCTACCACAAAATCAACTTTTGGCCTTAAATCATCTTGTATCCATTATTATAATGAGGCCTCTCCCAACTTCCATAATCATGCAAGAAAACAGATTTTCTATTTTATAATTATTCCTTTTTAATATTTTAGTGTCTTTATAATCATAAATTTCTTTAGCTAAAAGAGACCTTTTAGCAATGATGAAATTGTACACCTTTATTTTATAAATGAGTAAAATGAAGGAAAGAACGGTATTGATAGAGTTGGAACTAAAATCCTGAGTTCTTTTCTCTAATATAGGTCTCTTAACATCATATCACTTCAGGGAACAGATTGACATGGATTTTTGTTTTATATTCCCTTTGTCAACAAGGTTACCTTAAAACAAGCCTAAAGACCTAATTTGGAGAGCATTTAATTTCAAGAATAACATCAGTATGTCATAATGGTGTTGTCTCTTGGTTCACAGGGGTGCCAGTCTGAATCTTAATTTTACTATTATATTGTCTAGGATAGTGAATGAGAGCCGGCAGGTGCTCCAGGAACCTGACTTTGCTCAGTCACTCCTGAGGGACCCAAACACGCCCATCATAAGAAAATCAAGGGGCACTTCCACTCAAGGAACATCCACACATGCTTCCTCAACCCAGCTGGCTATGGTAGATGATCAAAGAAGCAAAGCAGGGAGTGTCCACAGCAAAGTAAGCAGCTACCACGGCAGCCTCCACAGATCGCGCGATGGCAGGTAGGTGTGATTGTAGCTTAGTTTGTTCCCTGTGTTGATTTATGATCCTGTAGCTGAAGAACGAAGAGAAGCCATTTCTGAAACAGAAGTTGAACATTATTAAAACCTTTTGACGTTTACTAGGTAGAGTTGTTCCAGGTTATGGTCAGACATTAAGCCAACCAGAGGACTTAGAATTTAATTTAGCGGGGCTAGGGATGTGGCTCAAGCTGTATAGCGCTCGCCTGGCATGCATGCGGCCCGGGTTCGAACCTCAGCACCACATACAAACAAAGATGTTGTGTCCGCCGAAAACTAAAAAATAGATATTAAAATTCTCTCTCGCTCTCTCTCTTTAAAAAAAAAATTTAATTTAGCCTTAAAACAGTTAAGCAATATGGGGTCATCATAGAACATTGAGTAGGGAGAAGGTGAAAGTGGTAGGTTAGTTAGATTAATTAAGCTAACAATTATGGAATACACTAGTACAGTGCTATGCTAGGCTCCAGAAATGCAAAGATGACTTAAGCATGATCATAGTTCTTAATAAGTTCCTACCTACTGTATTTACAAAGATAGTGTAGTTAGTGGTGTGGTTAATAACTTGGGTCTGGACTGATGAGCCTCAGTTTTCTCATCTATAAAAATTAGAAATAGCATTAATATCTGTCCCTTAAGTAATGTTGTAAAAATTAAATGAGATAACATACCTGATTATTTAGAATAGTGCCTATATCAATAAGGGTCTGTTTTCAGTCTCTATTATTACAAATGAACAATTAAAGTAAAATATAAGTATAGTAGTAGAGTCCAGGGGTTGGCAAAAATATTTTGGGCTTTATGAGTCACACATTGTCTATTCAAGTCTGCAATTCTATCATGAAAACAGCCATAGACAACATGTAGTGAGAAACATGGGGGTGACCATATTCCAATAAAACTTTATCTACAAAATCCAGAGGGGAGTCAGATTCAGCCATTAGGCCAAAGTTTGTCAGCCTCTGTTTACCAGGTACAATAAAATATAGAGAAGGGAGATAATTCTGGTGGGTGGGAGCATTTCAAAAAATGCTTCACACAGAGAATGTTTTAAGAGAAATCTGTCTGAGATGGGGGTTCTCTGTGTTTCTCATTTGCTAATAATAAACTTTTTCCCTTTTCTTAAAAAGAAAAGAAGAAGAAGAAGAAGTTTGGCTGTGGGCTTCTTGTTAAATTGAGACACTAGAATTAAAAAGCAGTTAGGAACTTTGCAGTAATTCATTGGAGAGATGATAAAGGCTTACAGGAGACGAGGGGCAGTAGGAAGAGGAAAAAAAGCTGACCTCAAATATATGTAGAAAGAAGAAATGATAGGCTTTGATGATAGATTAATATTAGCAGCTGGAAACAAAAAAAAAAAAGTGCCAAAGATTTTCTTTCTTTTTTTAAGATTTCTTGTTTGGGCAAATGAAAGAGTGAAAATTCTGATATGTAAATCAGGAACATTCTGTGTTTACTTCACAACATCTCCATCTCGAACTGTTTTGTATCCTGTTGATCTCAGACCAGCCTTTTCTTAGTTTTCTCCCTGTCCTCCCACTGTAGAATGTGACCCCTATACTCTCCTTTATTTTTTAGTTGTGGATGGACATAATACCTTTATTTTATTTATTTTTATGTGTTGCTGAGGATCGAACCCAGTGCCTCACTCATGCTAGATGAGCATTCTACCACTGAGCCACAACCCCAGCCCTATAGTGTCCTTTTTGACCGTCTGGTTTTCCTTTCAACCTGCTTTCTTTTGCCTTCTAATTTGATCAGCTACCCTATGCTTTAAAAAGCAACAATCTTTCTTCACCTCTGATATATCTTCTATCTGTGTATGTGTACACGCATATAATTTAGGCATTGAACCTAAGGCCTTGCACATGATAGGAAAGTGCTCTACCATTGAACTACATCCATTTTTATTTCAAGTCAAGGGTCTTGGTAAGGTGAATGTTCTTAATATTTCGTATCTATTCCGTCCTTCATCCCTTGTAATACTAGTCTTTTTCTCCTCCTTACTTAGCTGCACTATACCCTTTAACATCACCAGTGACTTCTTAACCACATTCAATGATTCCCTTTTGCTTTCTGGCTTCTTTCCCTCTACTTAGCACTCCTACATAAGAAGCTTTCTTCCAAGTGCTAGGAATGCAAAGATGGAAGACAGAAATTAAATTATCAATTTCAGTACATTTTAATTGGTATAATAAAAGTATATACATGGTGCTTTGGGATCCCAGAGAAGAAAACCATTTGCCTCATCATGGAAGGTCTGAGACAACTTCCCAAGATGAGGCACTTCTACTTCAAATAGGATTTGGAGGAGACAATTGGGAATGAAAGATGAGGAAAAAGCATGTTCAGAGGCAAGGAGGACAGGCAGGTGGTTAGGTGCCCAGGCACATTATGCAAGTTTGATATTTATTTTCTATATAACTGGTTCCTAATTATCCATGGAAAGGGTGTTCATATTTGAGAATTTTTTGAGAATAGTCATAGATATCACTTATTTAGACATAATTATACAACAGAGTGATTTTTTTCCTACAAAAAAATGCTTTCTTTGAGTTTTATTTCTAACTCAAAAGATTTAGATTTTATTTTAAAAAACACCAAATTCATATTTAAATGATGATTTATTTTTAAATTACATTCTACCTTTACTAGAACACTGCAGTTTGCTTTTTTCATTAGCCATATTTATTTTAAATAAATAGCCATTGAGAGGTAAAAGATCTCCAAATCAGTTGGCAAATCATATTTGGAAACTTGGGAAAATCTTGCTTAGTTTTAGGACAATAACCATTATCCAAAATAATAATTTTTAAAGTAGAATAACAAGAATATTGTGGAACTGAAACCATGCTGAGGAGTTAAGATGTTTCCCTAACAGCAGTTATAAACTATTATGGGACTGTGAGTGCTGGGGGTGATAAAAATCAGACTTGAATTTTAGAGAAACTATTTGGCAACGGCATAATAAAGAAGGGGATTGTAAATAAGACTGGTTATGGGGCTGGGATTTAATTTTTAATAAATTTTAGTTTTTGGCGGACACAACATCTTTGTTTGTATGTGGTGCTGAGGATTGAACCCGGGCCGCACGCATGCCAGGCAAGCGCGCTACCACTTGAGCCACATCCCCAGCCCATGGGGCTGAGATTGTGGCTTACCGGTAGAGCACTCGACCAGCACGGGCGGGACCAGGGTTCCATCCTCAGCACCACATAAAAATAAAGGCATTGTGTTGTGTCTATCTACACCTAAAAAATAAATATTTAACAAAAAAAACCAAAAAGATTGGTTAGGAAGTTTCTACAGTAATTCAAGGGTCCTAATTTAAGATACTGATAAGAATCAAAGTTTTAGAATATATTTTATCAGTTACCACCTTCATCATTGACTTGAACATTACTGATCTCTTCCTTTTCAATGAACAATGAACAATTATTTATGGTATAATTCCTTTATATGTGGCATTCTATGTATAAAGATATATAGAAGAGAGGTAAGGTGTAATTTCTCCATTCTAGGAGCAATGTAACCTTATAGAAAAGGACATATACAAATGAACCTATCACATAAAAGCTCAGGCCAGAATATAATTTAAACAGTATTAGGTGTGATTGATGTTCGTAGAACTTCAGGAAAGAGAAAGATTAGATTGGTCCATGAAAATATAGTAGAAGACATAAATAGGGTAAATAAATTATAAAAGATAATTCATATTGAGCTATAGAGGAAATAAATAGGGTGAATAAATGGTAAAAGATAAATTCATAGTGAGCAGAGAATTTCTAAGGGCAGTTAAAGATAGGAGATTTCAACCAGTGTAATCTGAGTGGAACTGGAGCTTAAATAAGAAAGTTTTTAATCATCAGTATAAGGTAGTAGTAATTAAAATTGTGAGATGGAATGCCTGAATCACACGGGAAAAAAGTACAAGACCCTAGTAAATACTTAGAGTAGTAATAATAAAGGGAGAAGAAGAGTGGGCATGTGATTCAGAGAAAGTACTCACAAACCTACAAGGGAATCTGTGAATGTGTATGTCACAAAAACCAGAGGATCCAACATGATTTCCTACCTCTCTGTGTAATCAAAAATCATACACTTGCTTCAGGGCTGTGTAATTCCATGGCAGTTAATTTACTGCTTTTTATAATTCTTTAGGTTATGATCTATTTTCAATACAGTTTCTTTCCTCAGCTAGTTTGCAACTTCTAGAGAGTGAGACAAGGTGACATATGTTTCTGTATTCCTTCTTAGTATATAGCACTGTGCTAGGGATATATATAGTAGGAGATGAGCAAATCTATCAGAGAAATAATGACTTTAGAAAAATATATCCCTTTCCCAGAAATTCAGGGCCAGAGCTACAATGGCAGCCTATAAAAAGCATCCTATATTGAGGCTCATGCTATAGGACCCTCTGCCAGATTGAGAGATCACAAACTATGTTGAACCTGAAAATCCAAACAAGGATTTTTATAATTCCAAAAGTCATCTGATTGAGATTTCTTTCTACTTCCTTGAAACTTAACTTTGCATGCTAATGTTATCTCTTGGTCATCCTCTCACTGTCTCGTGGTTTCTTGGCTGTGGGACACAAACATCTAACACCCAGTGCAGACAACTTGATGAAATATTATTGACCTCCGTGCTGTGCACACCTACATATATATGTTAACTTCAAAGAATAAGTAATTGGTAGTTAGATGAGAGGATGTGTAGAAAAGGAAGTGGATGAGTAGGTGGGTGGAAGTTTGGAAATGAGTGATTAGGTTGGTAAATAGGTGATCTGACAAGGAAAGCTGGGGAGTGAATAATGAAGTACTAGTAAATCTTCAGTTAATTCAATTATTATGATTAATGGGAGCAAATAATATAGAAAATCAAAAAGAATAAATCATTTTCTAGTGTTTTTTTTTTCATTTTAACTTTGGAATGTACTATATTATCTTCTTAACAGTGGCAGCAAAATAACCATCCTAATTGTTTTGCCTAACCTTATATTAAAATTATTGCATATTCATATTATGTATTAGAATATATAGTCATTGATTTGAATGACCTTGAAAAAATAAATTTGGCAATTCTACACATAACTGAGATTAAACACTATAATATTTTCTATATAATTGATTCCTAATTATCCATGGAAAAGGTGTTCATATTTGAGAATTTTTTGTGGATAGTCACAGACATAACTTATTTAGATATAATTATACAACAGAGTAATTTTTCTACAAAAATGCTTTCTTTGAGTTTTATTTCTAACTCAAAGGTTTGATTTTATTTTTAAAAAATACCAAATTCATTTTAAATGATGATTTATTTTTTAATTACGTTCTACCTTTACTAGAACTCTGCATAGTTTGCTTTTTCATTAGCAATATTTATTTGGAATAAATAGCCATTGAGAGGTAAAAGCTCTCCAAATCAGTTGGCAAATTATATTTGGAAACTTTGGAAAATCTTGCTAAGTTTCAGGACAATAATCATTATTCAAAATAATAGTTATTAAAGTAGGATAACAAGAATATTGTGAAATATTTTTATCTGCAAACATTGTAAATTTTTTTGTAAATTTTTAAAAATATCTTTATTTTATTTATTTTTTTTATCGAACCCAGTACCTCACATGTGCTAGGCAAGCGCTCTACAGCTGAGCTATAACTCCAACCCCTGTAAATTATTTTACCAAAATATGTAGTACAAATTTAAATCTGTTTGGATCCTAAATGTGAAATATCTGTAATAAATGAAAACTAAATATTATTTTACCCATTAACATGAGAAATTTTTTGAACATTTAAATATGCATCTTTTTATTCTTAAATTTTCTTTTTTCTTAAACTGGAAACAAAGATATGCCTTTTAAAAATTATTTTCAAAGGAGTTCTTAATTTTCAAACTTGGTAATCTAATAGAATGTTCTTTGATAAGCACATCTATAAAACCTGAGGACTGCCGGGTGAGGTGGTGCCTGCCTATAATCCCAGTGACTCAGGAGGCTGAGGCAGGAAGATCAAAAGTTCAAAGCCAGCCTCAGCAATTTAGGGAGACCCTAAGCAATTTATCAAGACCCTGCCTCAAAATAAAATAATAATAAAAAGGGCTGGGGATGTGGTTAAATGGTTAAGCACCCCCTGGGTTAAACCCCCAGTATTAAAAAAAAAAAAAAGCAGCGACCACCTTAGTAGTGTATGAATCTTTCAAATCTCTAAACTTTATGAATGATTCACATTGAGTTATTATTATAAAGGAATGATATATGAATGCTTTTTGACAGTCAATAAATCTTTAGCTGCTTATGATTATTTTGATGACTATTTAAAGAGAACCAGATAAGGTGGCATACATCTGTAATCCCAGGGGCTTGGGAGGCTGAGGCAGGGGGATGGTGAGTTTCAGAGCCAGCCTCAGCAACGGGGAGGTGCTAAGCAACTCAGTGAGACCCTGTCTCTAAAAAGTAGAAAATAGTTTGGGGGTGTGGCTCAGTGACTGAGTGCCCCTGAGTTAAATCCCCCATACTGCTCCCTGATCCCCCCCCAAAAGACTGGGGATACAGCTCAGTGGAAAATCATTTGCTTAGCATGCACAAGACCCTGGGTTCAATTGTCAGTACTGCAAAAACAACGAAGGGCTGGGGTTGTAGCTCAGTGGTAGAGTGCTCGCCTAGCACGTGCAAGACCCTGGGTTCGATCCTCAGCACCACATAAAAATAAATAAAATAAAAGTATTGTGTCCAACTACAACAAAAAATAAATATTTTTTAAAAATATTCCTTAAAGTTACAAATTATACTCCGTTTTCTTTGTGTTTTATTATCCTAAATTAAATATTTTTTACAAAAGAGTGTATGTATGAGCATATGAACAAAAACTATTTTTGAATACAGTTTCTTGAGGTACTAGGGATTAAAAGAGAAATAAAATATGGTCCTTATCCTGAAAGAACTCACTGCTGTGCAAGAGAGATTGATAATCATCTAATAAACTATAAGCGAAGAACTAATAAAAAATTGTAATTGATTTTCATGACCTTGACAGGCCTAGAGCTAATAATTTCTCATTCCTCATGACAGAGAATTTTTTAGTATTCTTGCCTCTGATGAGGCTTACTGAGTTAGGATTGCAACAAAAGAAAGTTTAACAGCACTACTGATGCCTTTCAAGATAAGAACCATGATGGAGGAGGCTGCCTGTGCTGAGCCATGTAACCCAGCAACATGCTTGGAGCCAGTCTTGGGCCAAGGGTACAGAGAATTTGCTGTAGTATGAATATAGGTTAGAGTGTTAAGACTTTAAAGATGTCACTTATATGAAAGATTCTTCACAGCCTGAAGTCCTAATGAAAGTAATTAAGATCATTTACAGGTGGTTAATCAGTTGTTAACTGGGTTATTTGCCAATGCATTCACTTATTTATTTAAGTTATACTAATTTCATCTCTGATTTCACATGCTTCTTCAGATACTAGTCTTTTAGTAGAATTTGAGTTTGCACTACTACTGATTATAACTAGTCTTCTAGACTCCAGGGGCACTGTCATGTATCCTCTGTTGTTCCTCCTGTCCCTGGACCGCCTAAAACTTATTTGAATATGAGAAAAGTGCCCATACTTGGCACAGCTCCAAATCAGTCAGCCTCCCTTTACCCTAGGGTAACCCTTTTGCAGGCAATAAGACCTTAATTTTGATCCCGAATGGATTAGCTCATCATTTTTGTCTTTTGTTAGCTTTGTCAGATAATTCTGTAGCCTTAAAGAAATTAACCAGAAGTTGGGTACTGCTTTTCATTGTTGGTTTCCGACTCATTTTACTTACCCAGGCATTTTCATGGAAGTTCTTAGAGTTATTTTCTAGTGTGTTCTGTTGCCCATCTCAAAACCTACTCTCCTGCGTCAGGTACACTCCCTGCAGTTACCGAGGAGTGGAGGAGAGACTACCTCACGGCAGCACATCACGACTAACGGATCACTCCAGGCACAGTAGTTCCCACCGGCTCAACGAACAGTCACGGCATAGCAGCATCAGAGACCTCAGCAACAACCCCATGACTCACATCACACATGGCACCAGCATGAATCGTGTTATCGAGGAGGATGGAACCAGTGCTTAGTTTGTCTTGTCTAAGGTGGAAATTTGTGCTGTTTAAAAAGCAGATTTTATTCTTTGCCTTTGCATGACTGATTGCTATAGCTATTATCCTGCTTTCAGTCAGGTGCAGATTGTGTCCATTGGGAAGGTGAATTTTTGCTTTTTATATTGCATCAAACTTGGAACATCAAAGCATCCAAAATACTAAACATTATATCATCACAAAGATAAGTCTTTCTAGGTTGTGAAGAGATAATTATTTGTCTGGTAAGCATTTTTATAAACCCACTTATTTTATATTTAGGAAAATTCTAAGTGTGTGGTGACTGATTTGTAGTGAAATTTCATATAATATGAACTAGTTGTGAGATAACATTCTGGTAGCTCTGTTAATACAACAAAGTTTCAGAATTAAAGAAATTTTCTATGCAAGGTTTATTTCTCAGATGAATATAGGACTTTGTAGTTTTATTTCCACTAAGTAAAAAAAGAACTGTTTTTAAAGTGTAGGAAAATTTAATAAATCAGCAAGGGTATTTTAGCTAATAGAATGTAAGTGCAACAGAAGAATCTGATTCACCTGTGGAGATTCTCTCAAAATTCTATAAAAATAATCCAGAGATATTCAGGATTTGGATAAACAATGGGATAAACACAGAGATGGGCATTTTTCCCTATAATTGTGTTGCTTTTATTACTTTTGTAAATATTACTTTTATTGGCTGTGTTTTTACAATATCCATATGCATGATGGAAAAATTTTAATTTGTAGCCATCTTTTCCCAGGTAATACTATTGAGTCATAGAACTTCATGTTCAGATCTGCTGTGTGGAGGCATGTAGTAAGCATCACACATTATAAGGGTTTTTTTTTTGTGGTAACCACAAAATGGCAAAATGTTTTCTCTGTTTTCATTGTTGTATTTTATTATGGTGAGATTTGACCTTGCCAAACCCACCATACCTTGGTATCCAGGCCCTCCCTATAGTGAGCTGATTGTCTGCAATGCATTAATTGTTCAGTAGGCAGTTGGCTACAGCTTTTGCCCCACATCCCTGTTTTCAGTTTCTGGACCATTCTTGTTTCAGCTGAAATATATATATAATCTATGTCCAAAGTAGTGATTAATTTGGATATTTGAAAATCATTGTAGCTAAATGAAGCATGATTAGACTCACTATGAATATATTTTAATCTTAAAAAATATCAAGTCAAAAATGTTTGACATTTTATCTTGTAATGTTTAATTTACAATATGAACTGTGAATTTTATTAGGCATGAAATTGATCGGAAGGGAAAGAAAATGTCTGGAAAATGCCAAATGTGTTCTGAAGAAAACACAAGTGATCCTTAACTCTGATTGCAGATAAAAATCACTTGGGGAACTTCTGATACATGCTCTCCCCTACATCATTCTCTTATTTAGATGAGAATTGCTAGCTTTTTAAAAGAAGCTTTCTGAGTGATTCTAATTTGCAGCCACATTTGAGGCACATGATTTGAAACTCATCTGCCCCTGATAGTGATCTGATGGCATTGCATTATATCCTATGAAGATCTAGCTGGATTCGACAATATGCTTTTATGTCATTACCTATCATACAATTGTTTCCTACTTTATTTCCTACATTTAGAAATGCATAATTCTTGGCTCCACTCCCAGAGATTCTTATTCAATAAGAATTGAAGGTAATTGGGCTTTAAAACCTATAATTATAAAAATATCACAGATGATTCTTATGCAGGTAATTTGGGACCACACTTAAAAAATATTCTAGACTCTTGGGGAGTCCTGACTGTGCCATATTGCTAGTTTTTGACCTTTAACGATTCAGTCTCTTTGAACCTGGGTCCCCTTATTTGAAAATGAAGATGAAAGATTAATACCTATTTTACCTACCTCACAAAGTTGTTGAATTAAGATCAATGAAAACAATTTTATGGAAGCTCTTTGCAAAATGTAAAGCATGAAATATAAGGGACTAAGATTAGAGGGCTTAATAAATGTGTTTTAGGACTACTGTAGTACATTTCTTGACATGTTTTTAATTCCTGTGTATATTTGTTTCTCTCCCTCTTTTAAAAAAAAAATAGTACCAAGAGAATAGGTATTGAAAAAGAAGCTTTCACTGGGCAGAAGAATCAGTCTGAAAATCATGATTTATTTGTATATCATCTTTCATAGTACATATATCTTAATATGAATTATTAATCCTTCATAAGATATATTTGAACATTTCACCCAATTTTTTCCCCTCTATTCTCTTTGTCTTTCCCTGGAACTAGAGTTAATGCTCAAACATGCAAGGTCTGAATTCGCTCACAACTGATAATTAGTAAACCATTCCTCTGAAGGGCCCATGTTATAACCTACCTATAAACAAATCAATAATTCATAAAGCTTTGAGAATTTCTCCTGAGAACAGCATGAGAGAACCAAAACAAACACTCACAAACAAAAATAAGAAGTTAAAATAGAAGGTACCAGTTTGAGCTCAAAGATGTTGTCATCTATCACCATCTGCATTATATTATCAACTGCCAAAATGTTAATTAGTTTTCATGTATAAGTGAGCCAAGTATAGACAGTTAAGTGAACATTGCTATGAAAATCTTAACTTTGTCTTTCCAGATTTTTTTGTATTTATGTGTCTTCTCTGTTAAAACTAATTGTTGCTATGTTTGTGAATGCTGTTTTGACTTTCCAGTTACTTTCAGTAAATATCTTAATGCCCCACAAAATTTACATTATATTGTTAGTCTGTTGTTTTAAGTAATCAAACCTAGTGCTCCAAGTAAAGAATGTTTTCTTTTTGAAGAGACCAATGAAGAACTATTGCAAAAACAGCAATTTCAAGTCTTGACTTGCTTAAACCAACTTGAACAAGTGTGGACAGTCTTCTTACTGTATGCTTAATTTTTATTTGTGTCATGATTGGCATATGCTAGTGTTTAGTGTTTTGTTCAGTTGACAACTGAGAAAAAAAATACTTCTCTCTAAAATGTTCATGTATTGTCAAAAGGTTTTTTGAAAAGTAATTTCAACAATATTATTTTATTCAATAATTAGGTAAGAGATCCAAGACAATATTAAGATCCAAGCAATAATTTATTTCAAACAACAATTGATTAATAACAACTATTACAGGGCTAAACATATAGTAAGTTTTTCCATATTTAAATTAATGAATAACTCATGTCACACAATTTGCTTTTTTTTTTTAGTACCAAGAATTGAATCCAGGGGCACTTAACCACTGAGCCACATCCCCAACCCCCAACCCCCTTTTATTTTATTAGAGACAGGGTTTCTCTGAGTTGCTTAGGGCCTCGATAAATTGCTGAGGCTGGCTTGGAACTCGTGATCTTCCTGCCTCAGCTGCCAGAGCTGCTGGGATTACAGGTGTGCACGAGGGCACCCTGCTCACAGTTTGCTTTTTACTGTCTCCCATCAAATTTGAAAGATTCAGATTTAAACTAAGTGAAATGAATAAGAAACAATTTACACCAAGTAAGCTTATTTCTCCTAGAATAACAGTCTGTTATTATTTTAATTAAAAGAATAATATATATATCAACCATTTTAATTAATTTTTTAAAATGAATAGTGATCCTTAGAAATAAGTAATTAGGGCTGGGGTTATGGCAGTGATGGAGTGCTTGCCTAGCACATATGAGGTGCTGGGTTTAATCCTCAGCACCACATAAAAACAAATAAAGTAGATGTATTGTGTCCATCTACAACTAAAAAGAAAAAAGTAATTAAACTCTTGTTAGTCCTCATGCTAAGTAAAATTTCTATGTACCAGATGAATGAATAGATAGTCAAGCAAACCTTTTTTTTTTCTGCTTCTGAAAGCAGATCTATAAAAATTCTAAGAATCTCTTCGAATTAGGAAAATGGACTGCATTTTAACATACCTCATTGTCTTTGTTATGGTAATAGCTGAAAATAAGTGAAATTGTACCCATCATAGCTTAAGCTATGTCTCCATGAAATGAAAGGAAGTACTTAAAAATTTTTTGGTAAAATATAGTGGGTCATTGCCTGGAGCTTAGAAGATATATACCAACATTTCAGTGTATTTATAGTGCTTTTTGACATGCCAAAGGTACATTTACACATTCTCATATTTGGTTGACTTATGTAATTTAGTGTAATGAAAATTCGACCAGGCTTGAAATTCAAAGACCCATAATAATTATGTCAACTGGATTGGTCATTTAATTTCTCTTAGTCTAATTTCTTCAGTATAAAATGAAAATAGTATATTTTTTGGTCCCAGCCTACTTCACTGGATATTGTGAGGATCAAATGAGACAATAATGTGTTGGGCTGGGGTGTAGCTCAGTGGGAGAGCACTTGCCTCACTTGTGCAAGGCCCTGGGTTCCATCCCCAGTGCTTGGGAACAAAGAGCATATATAAACTGCTGTACTGATACTGTCTTTGTTGGAATTTGGGGGTTGTAGAAAGCAAGGCTATAGTCTTCACTAGTATTTGTTTTTATAGTGACAACAAAATAGGTAATTAGACCAGTGTTCATTCGATAAACCCAATCAGCACTCCAATTAACTTTTTTTTAAAAAAAGGTTCTTTTAGAGTAACTATTCTTTTTAATTGTTTGGTTCTTTCAGATATGTTACACCAAGTGTGCACTCAAATTTCATATGGCTGAATTTCTAGGTCACTTCCAATAGAAATTGGGAGTCTCTGTTTTTTTGTTTTTCCTTTTATATGGAACTGTATAAGCTCATTATTAGCTTGGCTTGGTGGAAACTTAAAAGAAAAATATAAAGAGGAATGTAGGCCCTGTAATCTTTTTTTCTTTGAGGACTTTTATGTACCTGATTCTTTCTGATTGAGAACAAGTTTTGAAAAGATGATTACTATAATTTGTTTATTTTTTTATTATGGCAAAACTTTGAATTTTAAGCTATAATACTATGGGAATTATTTGTATATATGTACATGAATTTTTTAAAACTGTGTAAAGCAAGAATTTCTTCTTCATTCTTTACACATGAACAAAGTAAGACATTTTTATAGACCCTAGATTTACAAAGGAATTTGTGATTCTCTTATTTAAACTTCTTTTTTGCCTTTTTATGACCAATTAAAATAAGGAAAACTTTTTACATTTAATTCAGCTGTGTTTCCTGGTATCTATATAATTTTATAGATTATCTTATATTTTGATCTATTTTTATGAAATATTTATATTGTTTAATTCTCTTCTTTCTAGTTATATGATTTTGGTAAAGGCATAGGAAGATATAACATTCTTCACTTTCCTTCTCTTATTGGTCTGTGTTTTTTCTAACTTAATTTGAACCCTATATTTTTTAGTAATCAAATTGATACAGGATTATATTGTTCTCTCAGGATTCAGTTCTTGTAGGAAAGAAGTCCATCCAGAACCAGCCACCTTGGTGGACATTCCTGTTTGGTTAAATTATAAAGATTTAATATAATTTAATCAGCATATTTCTTACTGTGGTCTCTAATTAGAAAGTAAAACTTGGTTGCTATAAAGACATAGTAAAGTTTTTACTAATAATTTATTCGAACCCCAAACCAATACAACATTGCTTCCCATAAGGTAGAATAGTAACTCCACCTCATGCACTGAAGAGTAGTTTCCTTTCCAGGACTCTTTTAATAATCACCTGTCTCAGGAAATCTTTGGTGTCCTTCATGGACATTTTTGTTGTCATGATAGTGTTTTTCATATCTTATTCTCATTTTATTGGCCTCTACACCAGTTTTCCCTCATGGAGAAACAAATTTTTTACCTTGTAATAATATAAAACTTAAAGATTCCATGGTCCATTGTTCTGCTAGTCTCCTTTAATTAGTAAAGTTAGTGTTTTTAAGATATGTTATATTTGCTGAAGTATTACTTGATTACTATTGAAGGCTTAAGGTTTTTTATATAAATCAGCTTGTTTGTATATACCAACTTGCATTTATTTCTTTGTATTGTGCTTATTGACTTTTCCCTAATGTCTTAGAGTGTAACAGTTTCTGTTTTCTAAATTGAGGTGCTTTCCCTAATGACTAGTAAAAAATGCATTGTTATTTTTTAAATATCCCAGGGTTTTAAGTCAAGTACCCTGATTCGTAGTCTTACCTCTCTTTTCAATATAACTTTGGACAAAGCATTTTACCTGCTTAGGCCTTGGTGTCTTCATCTATAAATGAAGGGATTAGATGAGGGCACATCTCAGATTCCTCTGAGCTCTAATTTGATTCTCTCTTGACCATTTTATAACCATGATTCCAGGCTCTATTTTATTCTTGTTATTTTTCCCATGAATTTAAACTTATTAGATTGACTTTTACTACTTAAACTTAACAGGATTCAAATATGTTATTAACTTTGTTTTCCATCATTATTTCAAGTAGTTTTAAAAGAAAAATTATATTACAATAAAAAAAATGAAAGAAAAGTTATAGATACTGGACATGGCCTTTTTTGATGGGAAAAGTCTTCTGAAGGACCAACATAAGCATCTTAATTGATAACACGAAAAGAATGACATAAAATTTGTGATATTTGTTTTCTTAAATATGAATACAGCTAGGGCTGAGATTGTGGCTCAGTGGTAGAGCGCTTGCCTAGCATGTGCAGGGCCCTGGGTTCGATCCTCAGCACCACATAAAAATAAATGAATGGAATAAAGGTGTCCAACTACAACTAAAAAACAAAATAAATATTTAAAAATATATATATATGAATACAGCTAGTTGGCCAAAACTTTACACAGAATGAGTTCAGTGGGGCTGGATATAGTTCAATGGCAGAGTACTTGCTTAGCATGCAGAACACCCTGGGTTCAGTACATACAAATGTATTGAAGCTAAAATTAATGAACAAATCAGTGATAACACTGGTCCATTTAATTAAAAGAAACTTAAGTTTTTGCCACAGTGATAGCACTGGTTCATTTAATTAAAAAACTTAAAAGTTTTTGCCAGGTGTGGTGGTATACATCTGTTACCCCAGCAACTCAAGAGGCTGAGGCAGGAGGATTACAGATTCAAAGCCAGCCTTAGCAACTTAGTGAGATCTTCTCTCAAAATAAAAAATTAAAAGAGCTGGGGAGGTGGCTCAGTGGTAAAGTGCCCCTGAGTTCAACCCCTAGTACCAAAAAATAAATAAATAAATAGTTATTTGTTTTTACCAACATCAAAAGAACTATAAGGGGCTGGGGAGGTGGCTCAGTGGTAGAGTGCTTGCCTAGTATGTGTGAGGCACTGGGTTCGATTCTCAGCATCCCAAATAAATAAATAAAGGTCCATTGACAACTAAAAGAAATATTTTAAAAAGTATAAAACTAAAAGAAATTATAGAGGAGTTGATTGAAAGTTTTCTGTTAAATAATTATTTAAACTGAATTACTAGATTTCTTGCATAAATATTGTTGCCAGGTTACCATGGACAAGTGAATGCCTTTGTTTAAAATATTGTTAGAAATAAAAGTGATTATTGTTTTTGTTTTTTTATGGCTGTGCAGAAAATGTTCCTATGGAGGCTTCTTGATTGTCCTCTAATAAAATGTAGAGGTTCCATTAGTTCCATCTTTTCAGCAGGATTCTCTTGTGGATAACTGTTCTCTGAGAACCAGGCCATGGAGGTCTCTGTTATGTTTCAAGATCGTTGTCTTGGCTTTCATTGTCTTCATTTGCTCATCTCAATGTCTTGAACGCTTGGTCTGTAGATCTGACAATGTAGGAATGAAGTCTGGGTCTAATGAGAACAATAGTGGAAAGTTGATACAGGAAGGCATAATGTGTTTTTTGGTGTGATTTCTTTTAAACTATACTCGATTCCTTACCTTAAGTCATTTTTTCTGAATAATACAACTCTCCCAGCCCAGAAATTAGACACCTAGGATTTCTTACTCGGAGATGCCTGTACAGTTATGAATCACACAACATTTCAATCAAGGATGGATGGCACATATAACAGTGGTCCCATGAGACTGTATCATCTAGTAATGTGTGTGTGTGTGTGTGTGTGCACTCAATAGTGAAATCACCTAACAGCTCATTTCTCAGAATTTATCCCCATTACTAAGTGGCACATGCCTGTTTTATGTTATTTTCGTTGACTATAAAAACAACAACAAATTTATTGTCAGTGTGGCTTTGTAAGTCACATTTGTTAAATTTGAATCTGAGGTCCAATTTCACTGAACATTTTCTGGATTTTGATAATGGGCCAATCTGTGAAATAAACCACATAAGCCTTGAGTGATTTATATTGATCCATCTGCCATTTTCATATTTATCTAGCTACTCCTTCCATCCTCAGTTTTGAAAAAGAAATTGACACATTTCTTCCCCTAGTTCTGCTTCTGAACTAATCTTGTCAGCAAAGACAGTTGATATGAAATAATTCTTTATTCTTGAGACAAGATCAGTACAGTAGTTTTCTACATTGAGCAGAGGTGAATACATGTTTAAAAAATAATGTATTTTCTCCATTTGTGAATTTAAAAATTTAAAAATCCACCAGGCATGGTGGTAAATGCTTATAATCCTAGCCCCTCAGGAGACTGAGGCAGGAGAATTGGTAGTTTGAAGCCAGCCTGGCCAACTTAGTCCTATCTCAAAAAATAAGAACTAAAAAATGGACTAGGGGGCTAGGGTTGTGGCTCAGTGGTAAAGTGCTCGCCTGGCATGTAGGAGGCACTGGGTTCGATCCTTAGCACAACATAAATGTAAAATAAAGATATTGTGACTACCTAAAAAAATAAATAAGTATCTTTTTAAAAAATGGACTAGGGACATGATGCAGTGATAGAATACTTGCTTAGCATTTCCAAGCCCCTGGGTTTATTTTCCAGTACTGGGGGGGAAAAAAAAATCATAAGGACTCTCCAGTGTGAAGATATTAATCTGGAAGTTCTCCTGTTATCAGGTGCTATTTCTATTAATGTGAGTTATCAGACTAAATCTGAATTCTTTATCATTCTTCTTTATAATATCTAACTTCTAAAGAATCATTCTGTCTTACATTATATCTTTAACACCAACTTTAGACAACTTTTCTGCTGTTATTTTCAATTGCCAAATTTTGTTTTTGAGTTATCTTTTACCATTGAAGTTTTAAAGTGTTGTACACATGAAGGAGTGACTATAGTTTAGACATGTACTTTGGCATGATAGAGATAGCACTATTACCATCCCTTTACCCAACCTCCAAACAGAAGTTCATCTGACACCTCAGAAATTGTCAAATTGGCTTGTTTTATTTCAAAGAGCTGTGGAAGCTGATCCTTTAATATTAAAATGTTTAATTAAGAAAATATTTCTATATTTTAATCTGGTCATGAATTTGGGATTATTATTATTAGTTGTTTCACATTCTATAAATATGCAATTATGCAATACTCAAAGCTCACATTTAATTAATCTGAGCTGGGTTTGGTTGGGGTTTTTTGTTTGTTTTTTGTTTTTGTTTTTGTTTTGCTTTTTAGGCTTCTTGAGATTTTTTGTTTGTTTAATATTCTACATTTTTGTATGTGTATATATATCACTGTCCTCTCAACAGGCAGCTCTCCTGTAGATCAGCTGTTCTCATTGGGAATCAGGCCAAGGAGGTTCTTGCTGGCTTTTTAGAGGCAAAATAATTTCTGCTCTCACATCTAACATGGTCTCAAATTTTGCTAATGATAGAATATTATCCTCTTGATTGACATTTTAAAATAGTGAAAATACCATGTTATACAAATCAACCAATTTGCCATAAAATGCCATTTAAAGATTTTTCTCTATGCCTGTTTGTTATAAGAATAAAACATGAGTATAAAAAGTATATAATATAAAATATGAAGCTTCTGCACAAGAAACCAGCAACTTTATGATCTAAAAAGTTGTAAATTAGGTTGTTTCGAACTCAGAGTACATCTCCTGATATAAATTGTTATTTTAAATAATAGGGGTAACAGCTTGCTAACTAAAGCTAATTTAGTTCAGTGTACTGTAGAATTACTGTAGGTGTCTTGATTTGCGATAAATTTTTGTAATGGAGAAAGCTAATTTTGATCTCAATAATTACTTGGTACATTTCTCCTAGGTGATACTCAGGATACTCTGAGCCCTATCTACTTGCATACATACCCTCTATTTGAACTGTTCCTCAAATGCTACATTTCTACCTTTCTAGCCCAACACCTTTCTACCTGCCTTCCCTCCTTATTGATCCTTACCAAAATTTCCAAAGCATGGCCCATCTCCAGTGTTAGGAAGAAGGAAATTTGCATTAACCAGTTCATATTAAAGTATTAGTGACTATAGCCCTTTTATCTACTCAAAAAGAAATCTGTATTTTTAAAAAAAACATGTTGGTGTTAGCACAAATTAATCTCAATGAGTAGAAAATTAAGATTTAAAACAAAAGTGGAGGGGCTGAGGATGTGGCTCAGGTGGTAACGTGCTCGCCTGGCATGCACGGGGTGCTGGGTTCGATCCTCAGCACCACATAAAAATAAAATAAAGATGTTGTGTCCACCGAAAACTAAAAAATAAATATTAAAAAAAGTGGAAATAATTTTTTGGTGTTGAAACTATTTTGAGGCAAGAGATATCAGGAAGTGACCTGACTTGGAACACTGCTCCCTTTTCCTCAAGCCATGTGATGTTTGAAAATGCTGTATGTTTTCAGTGACCTTAAGGAAGGGATCTGATCATCCTATTTTGTGAAGTCAGAGCTGCTAGTCCTGCTTTTCTCTCCTTCAAGGGATGTCTGGAGCATCTCTCTCTCCCTCTCCCACGCCCTGATGAGACTGTTTCCAGCTCATCCTGCCAGACCTCACAGCTGGGCCTGTCTTGCAGCTCTGCTCACTGACTCATAGGTGAACACTGTCCATGCTTATCAAGAAAAAGTTTTTCCCCATTTTGTTGTTAATAGAAAAGAGGGAAAAAATATTTCTTTTTCAACATTCTAAAATATTATTATTTCTAAATAGCTGACACTTAACAATTTAGTGTCCAAATCCTATTCTGAATTAAGTTTCTGGGTGATTCTAAATTCTAAAATTTTAATCTTGGTTTATCACATAAACATCTAGTTAGAAAATATTTATGCTGAAGATTTACATTTTGTGGCATTAGTTCTTCATGTTTCTTTTTGACACATTGACTAAAATTGTTCATCTGTGTCCAGATGGGTGGGAAGGTTGTAGGTGCTGGGACCTGTGTAGGCCAGTGCACTCAGGAAGAGCCTGGACCGAACTCTGGCATTAGCTAGGTGTGTGCTGCACTCTGCTCTTGTAGATTTATTTTGTTTACAGTAGACCAGTGTCAGTTTTTGTAAATGTTTTTTCTTAGCACTTTAACTGTGAGTGTACAAACTGATTTTAAATGTAGTGGTTGTATATTTTGGTTATAAATTGGAAATTTTTAATAAAATTAAATAATTTGTTCTTCTTTCTGTCATTAATACCTGCATGAATATAATGTTTTATGTCATCTTCCAGACCTCAGTCTATTTAATGTATCACATTGCTATTTTTTAATTAGGTTTCATATCTTATATTCTTATAATATTACTAAGTTTTTTATTCATAATTACATGGGTATCACAGTAGTCTGGAGCATATATAAACATATTCCATCCTATATCATGTGTCTCTCTCTCATACTTGTTTGATCAATATAGATAAGAACCATCTCTGTTTATTGTAAATCCTCAGTATATAACACTACCAGGCACATAATAGAGGCTAGATAAATGTCTGTTGGGGAAAAATGAATATATTAAAGTATCAATTTTCCAATACGAAATCGTACATGAGCAAATGAATTACCAGGTGATTTTTTTTTTTTTGTCCATTCACAGGAATGCAGATCAAGATTTAAAGTACTGTTGTATTAATATATATCTTGCCTAAACATAGTTGCTAGGGACCTTAGAAATCATAAGGTCCAACTTCCCACCCAGAGCAGAAGTCCCTCAAAACCACACTGTTACCCTCTGCTTGGATGGTTTCAGTAGCAGGAAGCTCACCACTTGGTAAGGACTTCTATTCCATTTTGAGACATTCTACTTGTTATAAGACTTTCCATATATTGAGTGTAAAATGTACCTTTACTCATTGATACTGTTCTATAGATATTCATATTTCTATTACAGCACTGCTTTCTGACATTGGAAAAGAGGTCTCCTGTTCCCTCCAAATCTTTTCTGCAGGCAAGACATGGCCTATTCTCCAATTCCTCATCTTTAGTTCTCATGGGAAATCCTATCAGACTCCAATTGTTCCTCTTGAAAACACGTGAGTTTGTTATTTCTTTTAAAATCTATAGAACTAAATACTTATCTTCAGATGCTATAAAATCAGTGAAGAATCCATTGTACACTATGTTCTGCTCACTGTACTTTTAAAAATTCTCAACTGAAGCAAAAACTCTTCCAGTGAATAAAGAGTCCAACCATCCACAATGAAGATAGGTGTGCTCACATGTTCATTAGTTGTTCAAACTCCAGTGTTTGTCAACTAAAGCATAATATTTCCCTGAGACATTGATTGGTTACCTACTGTGTGCCAGGCAGTGAATCAAAGAGTACTTAATTTCCTGACAATTTACTTCCAGATGGACAAGATATTTAATTAAGATGGGAAAACTGGTGAGCAAATGCTGATCTCTAGCAGGTGGAGGTGAATCCTATTGTGTGCTGCAGCACAGACACACAGCATCTTCCCTGTGAAAGGAAAGTATTGACTTAGTTATGAACTAGTTAGATTTTAATGTCCTTTTACCAACTAAAATGATGTATGTAGTCTCAGCACAGAAAACAGATGATAGCAGGCTTTTGTTTAAAGGGAAAGCCTTTTGTTTAACCCTTCTTAGCAGCCCTTCTTATCCCTCCCTCTGCACTGCAGTGTTCTGGAAGCACCCAGTAGAATTCTCTCCACTCAAAGTGCCTACTTAAAAATTACTAAATTGCTCTGTATCTTGGCTGGTTGTCAGTTGAATCTATAAATGATAAATTCATTGAACTAGAGAAATACACACACACAAATGAGTGCTTGCAATAGGGATGAGGTCTGAATAAGTTAGACTATGTCAGTATCCTGGACTTGATATTGTATTGTAGTTAGCTAAAATTGTTACCATGGAGAAACTGGGTGTAAGTAATATTTCTTTAAACTGCATTTAAATCTACAGTTGTCTCAAAAAGTTTTTAAAGTACTGAATGATCTCTAGATTCTTCTGAAATTATTCTGATTCATGCTCCATTTAATTTCTAGCTGCCTTTTAGCTTTCATTATTTTCAGGAACTTATTAGCATTTGTTTTGAGGAGATTCTTGGCAAGAGTCTCTTACCCAAAAATCCTTCAGTTCTTATGTGGCCTTCCTAATTTAATGTTCTCAAGTGAAAACAAGACCCTGTTAATCCACTTTATATAAAGAAAGTATCTCTCACAATTCCTTCCTTCCTCTAAGCTTCAGAAGTCCAATTGTTCTGCACCTTTACTCTGAGTGTGGCAGAATGACTACACACACACACACACACACACGTCCACTCTTAACTCCCAGAACCTGGCAATATCTTATCTTACATGGCAAAAGGGCCTTTGTTGTTGTGATTAAGCTTACAAAACTTGAAATAAGGAGACTATTCTGGATTATCCTTGGGCACCCAATCTAATCACATGGTTTCTTAAAAGCAAAGAGCTTTTCCTGTCTGGTCAGAGAAAGATGTGACAACAAAAGAGTTGGGATGACTTAACCCACCATTTTGACTTCAAAGAGGGAGGAAGCAGTAAACTAGGAATGGAACCACCAGTTGACCCAGTTATCCCACTCCTCGGCATATACCCAAAGGATTTAAAATCAGCATACTATAGTGATGCAGCCACATCAATGTTTCTAGCAGCTCAATTTATTTTTTATTTTTTTTTAATATTTATTTTTTAGTTTTTCGGCAGACACACATCTTTGTTTGTATGTGGTGCTGAGGATTGAACCTGGGCCACACGCATGCCAGGCAAGCTCGCTACTGCTTGAGCCACATCCCCACCCCGGGGCTATAGCAGCTCAATTTATAATAACTATGCTATGGAACCATCCTAGGTAGCCATCAACAGATGAATGGATAAAGAAAATGTGGTACATATACACAGTGTAATATTACTCAATCATAAAGAATGAAATTATGACATTTGCCAGTAAATGGATGGAACTGTAGACTATCGTGCTAGGTGAAGTAAGCCAGTCCAAAAAACCAAAGGCCAAATATTCTCTCTGATATGCAGATGCTAACTCACAATAAGGGAGTGGGGGTAATAGAAGTTCATTGTATTAGACAAAGGGGAATGAAGGAAATGGAGGGGGGAGGGAATGAGAAAGACAGTAGAATGAATTGGACATAACTTTCCTATTCGCGTATACGAATACATGACCAGTGTCACTCCACATCATGCACGACCACAAGAATGGGAAGTTTTACTCCATGTACGTATGATATGTCAAAATACATTCTACTGTCATGTGTATCTAATAAAAGCAAATGAACAAAAAAAGGGGGCGGGGAGGAAGGAGGCCTTGCACTAAGGAATGCCTGTGTCTCTCAAAGCTGGGGGTAGCTTTCTGCTCAGAGCCAGCAAGAAAACATGGAGGTCAGTCCTGCAACTGCAAGGAACTGAATTCTTCTAACAACCAGAAAGAGTAAAGAAAGCAACCCTCCCTGCTTAGAAAGGAACTGCCTTGAATCTAGGTGTGGGACGCCCATGTCAGACTTCCCAGGTACAGATGATAAAATTACTTGCTCAACTCCTTTAAGTTTGGGATAATTTGTTCTGACAGCAATAGAAAGTGAATATCCTAAGCCTCACACCTCCACTCTGGCCAAGTGCAGGCAATAAACAAATGAGTAATGGAAGACGGCTCAAGGAAGCCATGAAGAATCAGAAACATTTCAGAGAGCTGGCCAGTTGCCCTGCCACAGACTGCTGAGGGCAGACGGGGAGGTGCTGCGCTGTACCAGGAGCCGCAGCCCCTGCTGCCTTTCCTCGGATTTCACCTCTGAGTCGTTTTTTCATCATCATTCTTAACAGTTTTCTTAAATTTATTCCCACATACCCTTCAATTCATCCTACTTTCTTCCTCTATAAAACTCTGTTCTTTATTTTTTCTGTTTACATAGCAGGCATTTTCTCTGCTAAGAACTACATTCCTACCAGGAGATAGGAACAGGTTAGGCCTTTTGTCAGGAGATGGGAGCAGGTTAGGCCTTAGGAAAATGTTGAAATTTTCATGTGTGCCAAGTTTTAGGTTAGGGAACATAGTTCCATTACCCGGTCTCTGGGTACTCCTCACCAGTATACACAAGAGAGTTCTGTGTCAATCCACTAAGTTTTAAAGAACAACAAACAAAACACAAAATCAGGCACTCAAACATTTTTTGAAAATAGCAGAAAAATTTTGGCTGAGGTACTGATGACTCACTATTGTTTTTTATTATCTCTTTGTACACAGCTCAAGTCTACAAGACCTGCAGAGCTAATGGAAAGTCTTTACAATCTCAAATAATATTAGATGAGCTGCTGTACAATCATACAGTAGGAGTACTTAAACACTTTACATGAAGTGGATCAACCAAGCATATGTATTTTAATTTTAGGAATTTTTTGACACAAGACTTGTTAGAAAAGTGTTTGCTAAATATGGGAAATAAATCGATGCACTAAATCCGGAGGAAGCTTCTGGCTTCCCATATGTCCTGTGGCCAGAAGGGTAGAAGGAAGGAAGGAAGTTGTTCTTTGGCAACAGATTGGATAGGATGAGCCAGGTCTGTGGTCCCCAGGGCAGGAGGGATGCGTGTGCCTTTCAGCCTTCAACTTGGTGGAGTCCAAATGGACCGGTACTGTAATGACCAGCCCAGTACACTTCTCAGCTTATCTATGAGCATTTCCAAAAATTCCCTAGGTTGTGAGAGCCATGTGGCTGCCAGACATTGGTTTATTTCTGGTGCCACCACAACAGCACTAAAATTAACAAGCAAATCCAGAAGTTCTCAAGAGAGCAAACTAAATCCTTTAATCTAAAAATCCTTCCTTCTTGAATGGGAGTTCTTTTACAGAAACATGACATTTAATTGTAAGCCTGTTTCAGCTGTCATAGTTTCAGTTTTTTCTCCAGAGACAGAGGTCATATTTATATCATTTCTCTTGTTTGTTGATGACAGTCATTTTAGAAAATGATGTTTCAAGTCTGTGACCATACAATGCATTCATTAATACCCAGTTTTTTTTTTATTTTTGTTTTTTTACCTACTCCTTACTCCAGGCATTTAAAGAATGCATAATAACATGGTTTCTACTCTGAGCAGGTAAGCTTTAAAACACCTAGTAAGTACTGTAATGTTGGTGTGTTCAAAGTGTACTGAGGAAGCACAAATGTGGAAGAAGTTACTTCC